CTGGGATACATGCATGCGTGCACACAAACACACTTGTACGGACTCTTGCTGTCTTGACGTATGCGCAACTATCTAAATGATGCTGTTGTCTCCATATGACTGCCGTTTTAGAGGCTAAACATGTGCACTGATCAGTTATCGTGTCATAAGACTGTGGAAGGCTTGCTTTACTTTTTGATAAAATGACTTTATCCAGCAGACTGGATTTGTTTCATCATTTGCTTTGCAGTTTTGCTTTCAAGTCTTTTCCTATGCCGTTCTCTCTTGCAAATTCATTTTAATATTATTACTATTTTCAAAATAACTTTCGTTTTTTATTTTTTTTATTTATTTTTTATAAATCTCTTCAAGGCTGCATTTGTTTGATCAAAAGTAGAAGCCATTACTCCAGTCTTCAGTCATATGATTCTTCAGAAATCATTCTAATATGCTGATTTGCTGCTGAAGAAACATTTCTTATGAAACAGTTGCTGCTTAATATGTTTGTAGAACCAGTGATACATATTTTTCAGGATTCTTTGATGAATATAAAGTTACAAAAAGCAGCATTTATTTAAAATAGAATTTTTCGTAACAATCTAAATGTCTTTACTATGACCTTCGATCAATATAATACATCCTTGCTGAATATTGCTGAAGTATTAATTTCATAAAAAAAATAAAAAAAACTTACTGACTCCACACTTTTGATCGATAGTGTGTTTTAGTGTCCATTTATATATTGTGTCCATTATTGTTTTAAAAAAGAACAGTATAGCAATAAACAGGAGTTATTTACATATAAAATAAGCAAAAGTTTTACACTGCAATGGAGGCAGAAACTGCATCTGGCACAAAAAAGGTACATTTACACCAAGGGATCAAGATTTGAACCGCAACTATTCAAAATATGCTGGAAAAGAGCTGAAAGTGTTCATTTCAGATGTTTCAGTGTAGGCCTACTATTCACTCTAACTGTAATATGAGGCCATGTTTTATTTATTTTGCATCAAATAACCCATGAAATAGTGTAACTAGAGAAGGTCTACAGATAGCAATTGCTTTGCCTGCTTGTCAGAGCTGCGGTCCATGCCAGGAACAAGTTCAATACACTTGTCCTAGCATAACGTCAAACACCGTCTTAGAAATGCCTAGAAACACGACTCGCCCACACCGTCAGTCACCTCTCACATACCAAACTGCATGTGCAGCTAATAAGATTAATAATTAATTACACTGAGAAGAGGGATAAACTATTGATTATATAATTAATTTGTTCAACTCTTTAAGAAACCACAAGGAAAGGCAATAAAAAAATGAAAAGGGTGGGGATCATAAATCTTTTACTATCTTGTTTTAAACAGCTGGGGGTCCAATGACTCCACAGACTGTAAGCAGATTTAAATATATATTTGAGTCTAAAGCAGACAATCATCTACACAATAAAACACAAGATAATCAATTCTTTAAACCACATGCATTTAAATTATTCTTTATACCACAATGTTAGTAGTTAGAGGGTGTGTGATCCATGCTTACTGTGTTCATAAAAGACTCCATATACTTCTTCTGTGCAATCTTGGACTTTGGCCTAAGACAATGTTCTCTAATTCAAATATGTACTGTATATATAAAAAAATCAATCCACAACATAAGCCTGAGAACAAATACCCTATATTTTACATTCTTAAGCTATATGCAGAATGTTAATAAGCAGAAAAGGTAGCAAATGAGTTTGTGAAGCGAACTAACTTGGCACAGAAAACCTAGTTTTGCAATATACATTGAAATGTAGAAAGAATGCACAAAAATAATAAGAAAAAAAGAGCAAGTTTCATAGGATTTAACGTATAAAATAAGAGATGCCATGGTTCAAATATGACTGTGATTCTAATTCAATTCTATCAGACTAATTAATTTTCTTGATTCTTAAGAAAAAAGAAAATGATGTAAGATCTTTTATAAACTTCTATAAACATTTATAATCTTTGATAAACATTCCAATTTAAAGGATAATTCCCTATGATTGATAACATGAATGACAAGATACCATGACAATAGACATTTCCTAAAACTTGTGATTTATTAACAAAATTCGTGACAGGTTTGAAATTAATACTAAACTAAATCTGATCTCGTCTTCACTTACTTTTTCAAAGATTTTTTTTTTTTTTTTGAATCTGTATTTTAACTTTGTTTCGGTCATAAATTACACGTTTTTAAATTAATCTGTTGAGTTGAGTTAATCTGTTGAGTTACAATAGCAAAAAGGACTAACTGGTCACCACCTGTGCATTTATGTAACCTACAGAAAAAAGTCAAATCACATCTATTTATGTAGCACTTTATACAATACAGATTATTTCAAAGCAGCTTCACAGTAAACAGGAAAATAACAGTGTTAATATTGCCAAATTAATCAATTAGTATAAAGCAGCTCTATAGAAGGCAATAGTGTCATTATTCAGCTCAGATTAGTTCAGTTCAGATTCAAAAATTGCGAGACTGTGAACAAATATCAACTCTTTTGGTAAATAGAACCAAAAGATGTGAGCCACTGGGCCAAATCAGAATCTCCATAGCTGAGATATGTAGTCGTTTGGAAATCAAGCTGTCCTGTGGAGTCGATTTAGTCCTTCGTTGTCGATTCTCACTTTGCAGCATCTCTGAAGGATACCCTCAGAAAAAGAAAAAAAACTGATCATTTGGGAGGTACCATTTCACCGGGTACTAATATGTACCTTTTGGGTACTGATATGCACCCTTTAGGTACAAAAGTGTACCTTTTGAATAGGTACCACCCCAGCGATAGCTTTGTACCTTTTTTTTTCTGAGAGTGCAAAGAATCAGATTGAATCCAGCTCTTTATGAACTGCTATCAAATGAGATGTGATGGTAGGCGTTATTTTTTCTGCATTCTTCATTGGCCTTCATTATTTAAACATATTTCTTTTATTTTAAAAAATAAGTCATGTCTTATACCTTTATATGGAAGAAATCAAACTTGCTCAACTGTATAAGCAGGATAATATTATATCAAGGCATAATATTTAGTTAATGCATTGGCATGTCCAAAAACGTATGCTGTGTTTTATTGCATTGCATTATTGTTCACCCCATGTGCTCTGCAGTTTTATGATGTCCTGGATTGTATTGAGCTGTGTTGCACTTTCTGTATGTATTATATTGTGCTGTGCTGTGCTATACCATCCTGTGCTTAACTCTGCTGTGCTGGCCTGTCTTGTAATTGTTTAAGAGGTGGCCTCATTGTCTCATACATTCTCAGAATTTTATTTTTATTTTTTTAAATTGTCAATGGGACAGTGCCCTTTTAAAAGCTTTGTGCCTTATTTATCCTTAAAATATACATATTAGTACCTTAAAGATACTTATTGTTACCTAAAGTATACATATTAGTATCTAAATGGTATATTAGTTCCTTTTACATGTCCAGTATGTCTTTATTTTTTAGGCTCTTGTATGGGCTCTCTGCCTGCAAGCAGCTTCTAACAGTACGTAACAGAACAGACAGATTTCCCCACTTTCATCTCAGTAATTAGTTTTTGTCTTAGCTAGTTAGATAATGAATGTTTACGCAGACAAGCTCAACATGCCAGGAGTTTCTGAAATGAACTTGGACTGTTTTCTTCAACCACCATATATATATACTGTATAATATACAGTATATATATATATATATATATATAATGTTATTATTGTTAAGTGCTTTATTGGTGTAAACATATTTTGTAAAGTGTAGTGAAGTACTGCAGAAATCCCCTGCATAGGGACCCTGTGAATGGGAACCCAGCTAAGGTTTCTGCTGCTGTTGGCTCCGGACTGGGCCAGTCTGGGCTGGAGGAAATGTGCTGCGTCCGCAGGCCCGCTAGCTGATATCCGATGTGAGATGGAGGTGTAATTGATAATGGTGCAGCCTCTTTTCTGCACTGCAGAGCTGCTTTACTTCCTGTGTGTTCATCTAAGCGTGTGTTTGTGTGTGAGATTTTGTTTTGGTGGTGCTGCGTTACATTCAGCTACAGATAATGCCGCCCTCTGTTGGGCAGCGAGAACACAGGGCCACTATAGTGCTGACTTTCCGACTTGAAAAATTCTGCTGAGACAGCTGCATAAGAAGAGAGCATACTGGCTTCATCTCCAAAATTGTTTCTCAATACATAGTTGCATATTCTCATAAGAGCCATAGCTAGAGCTGTCTGTGGGCTATGAGATGATTTGAGGTGACCTTGGGAAAATGCATGCTGTGTAAGAATGGACAGAGGGAGGAATATTGCTTAGTGGAAAACATGTCAGAAACTGAGAGGAAATGGGAGGGAGAGGGAGAAGAGTAAGAGAGAGAATAAGAAAAAAGCATTAAGTGATTATTAAGTGTTGTTGTTTGTGTTGTTCTAGCTCCTTGCTTTTATACTCAATATGGAGGTACAGCCATTCATTTTTTTTTTTGAAGAGAGAAAAAAGATGGAAAAATAATTCTGGGATATTTGGTACTTTTATAAATTGTGATTATTTATTTGGAACTAAACAATAATTTGTATTATTGATTATTTAGTGGATTAACTTCAAGTCTTAGGAAAATGTGTCAAATATTTAGCACCACAAGAATGTCACCAAATATAATATTTAACCAAATATAAAAATAATTTGAAGTACCACAAAACCACTGACTTCATCTATAGCGGGGTCTAAATGTCTGAGACACAGAATTATAATAGGCTACAAGAATAATAAGTTATAATTTTAATTTAGGTTTTTATAAATAAATAGATTGTGTAGAAATTATTTTTATTTAAATTTATATTTAGTTATCCTCCAATGCCATGATACTTGTTGTTTATGCAGTTCTCAATAAAATAAATAAATAAAATAAAAAACATCTGTCACGAGTGTTTGGTAATCAAACGCACGATGAAGATAAAGTTCCAACAGACTTTAATAATCCACAAAGGCAGAATCTACAAAGAGAACCAGTCCAACACAACTCTACATGAACTTAAGACCCGACACTGAACTCAAACTGAACTGAACTTATATAGTGAAGATAAAAGACACACACCTGAAGATGAAATCAAATGAATAACTATAACTAAAAAAGGAGCGGCAAACAAAACACAAACAGAGTTCATGAGGCGGCGAGCAGGAGGAATGACACACAGGCAGAGTGATGCAGGAGGAGGTTCTGGAGGAGGACAGACAACCGGGAGGAGGATGACAAACAAAAGAGGTGCCAGTAAAGGAGATGACCAGGGAGGACCCTTGAGCAGGAGGAGCCAGGTGGCACTCTAGAGTCCAGCCAGGGCTGAGGCCCACAGCGGAGTCGATGGAGGGAGGAGCCAAGGTGGAGGCCATGATGGTGATGGAGACAACGCCGATGGAGGAGCCCAGGGTGGAGATGGAGAGCCGAAAAGCCAGGGTGACACCGTGGGTCCGGAGGGCCAAGGAAGAGTCAACAGCTTCTGCGACTGAGGCGGAGATCCGGAAGACCACGGTGGAGCCAGAGCAACTGAGGACCAAGGAGGAGCTGGAGGGAAGGATGAGCCAGACGGAGCCAGAGGGATGGAGGGATGAGGTGAAGCCGGAGGAGTGGAATTCCATATAGATGAAGGGTCAACGACTGACCAAGGCGGAGCTGGAGGGACGAGGTAGCCCGGTGGAGCCAGTGGGATGACGGGCCACGGTGGAGATGAGGGTGCTTGGAGCCAAGGTGGAGCCACTGGGTCGAAGGGCCGAGGTGGAGTCCAGGACTCGGAGGCTGAAGGTGGAGACAGTGGATCTTCAAGCCAAGGCAGAGATGGAGACTGGAACCCCTGAGGCAAGACAAGGCTCCAGGATGGTACTGTCTGAGGTTGAGCTGAGGGGCTTACAGAAACCAGCGGAGACATGACAGCAGAACTGCAGATATATAGGGAGGCGGCAGAGGGAAGTTGGGAGGGAACACAGGGGGCTCAGGAGATTCGGGAGGGTCAGGGCTGGACTGAACCAGTGGGAAGACAGATACAGGGCAATACATGAAATTATCCACTTCAACATCATCCAAAATGCTTCCAGAGAACAGTTGTAGCTCACCCTCAGTGGTGGGAGTGTGGGCAGGGCTTCTTTCCATTCCCTCGTACTCCACTACTACTCCCTCCGGCATGTGCGGTGTTGCCGGCTCACACACCTGGTCAGATGCTTCAATTGGCTCAGGCTCCAGGGTGATGGCATGCTCAGTCACTTTTTCCGGCCAGCGTGCAGGAATGAGCAAAAGCAGTCATCCGGGAAGGTGGTCTGATGTGTGAGACCCAGGAATTCATCCACGCTCAAGGCAGAGCAGGTTAATGGCGGCAAAGTGATTCATAAACAAAAATAAACAAAACACTGACAAACGGAAAATAAAACGAGATTTAGGCACGCCACTACTTGTTTACTTCCTTTAGGTCGGGTCGTCTGTCACGAGTTTGTTTGGTAATCAAACACACGACGATGAAGATGATGTTCCAACAGATTTTAATAATCCACAAAGAAAACCAATCCAACACAACTACACAAGAATTTAAGACCCAACACTGAACTCAAACTGAACAGAACTTAAAGAGTGAAGATAATGAGACACACACACCTGAACATAATGATGAAATCAAATGAATAACAGTGAGTACGTTTACATGGACAACAATACTCCGATTTTAATATGATTAAGACAATACTCTGATTAAGAATCTACCATGTAAACAGAGATTTTTGATTACCTTAATCCGGCCTTAAAGTTACTTTAATTACCTTAAAGTCATAATCGAAGTAAACAGAAATCGAATTAAGACATGTGGAGTATTCCTATTTTAGTCATTTTAGTC